TTAAGTTGGGGTGAACAGTCTTGAATGAAGGCTGGCGATGAAATGGAGATTCACAAGGAACGTGGGTCAAAGTAGAGTAACTTTTTTCATTCCCCTTAATCACATCTAGAGGCCAGTGGCCGTTGACGGGTGTGCTATAAAAGTAATGAGTTTATGCATAAATGTCTGTAAACAGTTATGTTTTCTTCTACAAGATTCAATAAACACGAGTAATTACAGCCTGATTAGGTGTAAAAAAAAAAAAAAAAAAAAAAAAATCAATTAACTAATTATATTATTAATTTAAATATTATTCAAAAGAGAATATTTAAAAAAAACATATTTGGCTTATATTTTATTATTAAAAGATCAATCAATTCAAAATCTTAATCAATTATTATATAAGAATTATAATATAATTTAAAATTTAAAATCAAATTAAAAACAAGTATAATTTTCTAAAAAAACTTTTAAAAAAAAAATTATATATTAGAAAAAAGTTTTAATAAAAGTAGAAGTAATAATATTAAAACCTAAATTTTAAAAAAAAATTTTTTAAACTTTAAACCTCTAATAAAATAATTAAAAAATATTTTTTCTTATGGTTTTTTTTTTTAGAAAAGATTTTTTTACTATAGACTTTACAGATATATTTTATATAGTTTTTTTATTAAAATCATAAAAAGTTTTTTAAAAAAAAAATAAAACAAAAATAAAGAAAACAACTGCTTTAAAGAAAGTTTATTATTAAAGAATATAAAAGTTTTTCAAGAATATTTGTTTTTTAAATTGATAAAAGAATCAATAAAAAAGTTTTTACTTTAGAATATTTTGAATTATTATATAGTAATAAATATTATTTTGAATTATTATATAATAATAAATATAATTTTAAGTAAATAATATTTAATAATATATATAATAATAATAATAATATTTTTTTAATTTTAATTAACTATATTAGTGTTATATATTTGGTAAATATTGGAAATATTAAAAATTAAAAAAAAAATTATGCAATAGTTTTTGAGAAAAAAAAATTTAAAAAATTTTTTAAATTTCTTATTTAATGGCTATAATATATATAAAAAAAAAAATTATATATATTTTTTATCTAATTATATATATTATTATTATTATTTTTTTTTTTACATCTAATCAAGCCATATACTCAATTTATTAATTTTCAAACTCTAGAATTAAAAAGATCCTAATATAGATATCATGAAGTACATACTGTTGATTATATATTATATACTATCGATTAAACTTCTAATATTAATATAATATATTCATTAATAGCCAATAGTCTCAAGATATAATTAAAGGAAATAAAAAGGTTGTTCAATTAAAGAAAATATTTCTTGTTATTCTAAAATCTCAAAGTCAGCTCTTTATCAAGACTGTCACCCCAACTTAACCTCTATAGTCCTAAGATATAAAAATTTTTATTTTTTTTTTGAGAAAATAAAAAGGGAAAGATAAAGGAAAAAAAAAAATTTGTGCTAATAAAATAAAAATCTATTAAAACCAATCATCAGCCTAATAAGCACCTTTTTTGATCTTAAGAAGAAAAGAAATCAGCACAAAAGGAGAAAAAGAAGACTTTAAATCACTTCTTATCAAGAGAATATCTCGATACCTTGCTTTTATCTTCTTCAATTGTATCATCAGTTATAATATAATACAATATAAGGTATATATAGATATATATTTTGTTTATATTTCTTTTATATCGATCAACCAGTCCAAGATTTCAGCCAATTACCAACTGGTATTTTTGGTATAACAAAAAATTCAGGGTTAAATTGAGGTATAGTGCAGGACATCTAGTCACATCTTTACTGCGCCACAGCGCTGAAATCCGACCTGCAGGTATTATATCATGTGATAGGGGTAGGGGTATATTACCTGACTAGTAATGTAATCTGGTCACGTGGTATAATTTAAATGATTGGTCATTCAGATTATTGAATTACTTGCCTTTAATTATGCAATATAATCAACTTTCTTGTAGCCAAAGTATAAAGTATGTCTACAAGTGCTATACATAAAATAGTTCAGTTTTTCTTTTTCTTTAATAAGAGTATATTTATCGATATTCACCTTAGGAGGTACATATAAAAAGTGTAAATTGTATTATCAAATTAATTACTGCCATTCTAATACCTGTTACCCCATATATTTGTCTCCAGTCAATTATGAAAAATGCATTTTTTAATTAAGATTTTCGATCACATGTATAAAATAAATATTTACACATGCTCTCTTTTTTTTATTTCCTTCATATCAATTCATCTTGTTTGTATTCAATGCGTCCCAAAAATCGAACCCAACACTTGAGGGCTCTCAATGCTGCCAAAAAAAGATCTCATCAAGAAGTAGATAATAATGGTAAGTATATAATCACATAAATGATTTGTAGAATTTATAATAATCATAACTAATGCAATTTATATAAAAAAGACAGTGACAATGATTCAGATAATGATACTATTTGGACGAATGATGATCTTGAAAATGAGTTAAAGGATGCTTACAGTCTAATGCTAAATGCTGCAGCAAAACCAAATACATTTAAAATAACTGGCCGGAAAGGGTTTTATGTTGGAGCTGCTAAATCTACAGTTTGCAATAAAAAAAGAGCATGGCGATTGGCTGCAGAGGGATCCAAAAAAATTGATAATTTTTTCCAACCATTGCCCAATACAACTGCAGGTAATTTGATATATTTTATCATAATAGTATTATAATATGTATATTAACACTCTTGACTTGTTAGATTCGATTCAACAAACAAATAGTCCAGAGGTTGATAACTTATATCTGAATTATGATTTCTTGAGTGATGATGAAGATGTCAAGTTTTCTCTTGAAGAATTAGAGAAACAAATCAAACGTGGAATTAAAGATATTCGGTTACAATACGTTGCGCAGTACTTACGGCTTATAGAATCTGGATATACAAAACAGGAAGCCAGCAATTTGATTTCAATATCTATCAATCGTGGTCCATGAAGTGCATGATTAATACGATCTTGGGGCAAGCAATATTTGGAAAATGGCATTATTTTAACTTCTCGTTGTGGCAAGCATCAGAAAGTTCGTTCTCTTCTACTTGATAAGGATATTCAATGCCAAGTTCAGCAGTATTTAAATTCAAATAAATTTGAGTTAAGAATTTCGAAATTTTGTGATTTTATTCGTGATACAATCTTGCCAGATGTTGGAGTTGAAACACATAAAACTATCAGTAAAAGAACTGCACGAAGATGGTTAAAAACTCTAGGATGGAAATACAAAAAACATCAAAAAGGATTATATTTTGATGGATATGAGCGTGAAGATGTTGTAGAATATCGACAATTGTTTTTAGAACGCATGAACCAGCTTGAATCTTTAATGCCAAGTTGGACAGATGATTTAGCTCACCAAATTAATCCTCAATTACCTGAAAGTGAAAAGTTGCATATTTTTATAATGCATGATGAGTGTGTTTTCTATGCTAATGATGAACAAAAATCATTTTGGACGCTGAGCGAAGAACAGCCATTACAACACAAAAGTCTTGGAGGTAGTTTGATGGTCAGTGATTTTTTATGTGATACAATTGGTCGCCTTCAATTAGATAATGAATGACAACAACAAAACAAGCTTCGCCCACCTGAACAACAAATATCTATTGAAGCTTGTTATATTATCCGTCCTGGCGCAAATCGAGATGGTTATTGGACCAATGAAAATGTTGCAATACAATTGCGTGATAAAGCAATTCCAATATTCGAAATTATGCATCCGGAATGCATTGGAGTATTTGCTTTTAATAACAGTAGCAATCATGGTGGATTTGCAGAAGATGCTTTGGTTGTTAGTAGAATAAATTTGGAACCAGGTGGCAAGCAGCCTAGAATGCATCAAGGATATATATGAAATAGTACATCTCAAGAAATGAATTTGGCCGATGTTACTCCAAAAGGAATGCGAATTATATTACAAGAAAGAGGTTTATGGTGATCAGGTCTTCGCAAAATCTGTTTGAAATGTACTAAAAAAACACCAAAGGAGAATGATTGTTGTGCTACTTGACTTTTGAACGTGGAATCAGATTTTCTAAACCAAAAGACAACACTTGAAGAAATAATTGAAAGCAGAGGTCACAAAATAATTTTTTATCCGAAATTTCATTGTGAATTAAATTACATTGAAAATTTTTGGGGTCAAGCAAAAAAATATACTTGTCAACACTGTGATTATAGTTTTAAAGCATTGAAAAAGACAGTTCCGGCTGCTCTTAATTTAGTTTCTTTACTTCAAATTCGAAAATATGCACATCGGACTCATCGATATATGAGTGCTTACAAGTTGGGTTTATCAGTCAAACAAGCAATGTTTGCTGTTCGAAAATATCGTTCTCATCGAAGAATTCCTGAAAGTATTCTTGAAGATGATGAAATTATAATGTTACGTAGTGTTGTCGTCACCAGCGAGTCTGTCGCTAAAATGGAGCACTCTTCGCGTGACAATAATTCAAACACTTGGATTATGGTACTAAAATAAGGTAAGGCTTTAACTCCAAGGTGGTTACAATTTGGCCAACTTTCGCGCACTTGCTAATCTCTTCTTGATCATCTTTCCCTCTAGGCGCGTCTCAAGATTACAAGTGTCACTCTCTTATGGTGCAAAAGTAATGTCGCGTCTCTCCTTTTCAAAGGAATTTACTTTACTGTAGTGGCGCAAACTTAGTTTTTACTTTAAAGAATGTATTTTGTTTATTGTGCGAAGCGAAATAGCATTTATTTAATAAAGCACAAGTGTGCCCAAAACAGAGAAGTGTTCTAAGATGAAACTTAAGTCTCTGATTTAGAACTTAGAACTTGTCGTTCGAAACTAACTCTAAAACTATCCTATCTATATGCCTTGTTAACGCGTAAACATCCATTATATGTTCCTATAACATTCCCCCATGCTTATTTTTATGTGCTCCTGCACATATAATTATACTAAAACCACTGGTCCCTACTGTATCTTTTGCCAATTGGCCGGGGTATTAGTTCATCTGCCCCGGTCACTATAGAATGGTTGCTTGTCGTTATTTGGAGTGGTGGAGTATTGGATGGTTGGATAGTGCCGGTTAGATCAATAGTGCAGTCATCTTGTTGTTAGGTACTCGGTGGTCTTGATTTAGTGTTGTGTTCTCCACCTTTTCGTGTTTTATCATGGGGTACGTCGCGATTCCTTTGGTCCTGGCGAATTGTTTGTTCACTCGCCCCTATATCTTGTTGCTATTAGACTGGCATACCGTCTCATCCATAGCTCCCATATCCAATACCTTATGGCCTATGTTATCATCCATTGCTTTCGTTAATGCTAGCCATCGTGTCATGCTAGTCGCGGCTTCACGGTTCCATTTGTTTTCTCCGGAGGTTTGCCGTACATCACGTGATACCTCAGGGCCTCGGAGCATATTCATCGTACACCGCTTCGTGTGGCTGTCCAACCCCATATCCGTTTCAATTCGTCTAGTCCCAGTGGGATTAGCGGCTACACACGCGATTCTACTGGCTAGGATCATGGCATTCACTTTTAACCTTATCCCAACGGTGTTTAGTCTCCGCATCATCAATCTTTCTGCGATCTTGCGTCGGTGTTGAATCGTTAGCTGTTGGCACATTACAGGTGGGTCGTAGCATCTAATGATTGTCAGGGTGCATGTTTGTTCCATCTTGATTGTGCTTGCCGTTGTTCTGTTGTTCGGAGTGCTGCTATGCTGTTAAGGGTGCATCGCATCATTTTTGCGCACTCAGATTTCAGGACGGTACTCCCGATCATGTTGATGAGGAGTTCTTTCACTGGACCCTTTGTCCAAACCATCCTGTAAACTATCATCATTGCATGACACACTAATTTTGCGAAGACCTCGAAGTGTGTCTTCTTAAGCTTTCTTCTTAATTCGTAGCCAAATGTGTTTATCAGTCGCTGCCATGATGCCACGATACTGTGCAGCCAGAACATCTCATCGCCCGATGCGTGCGTTTCCCAAGTAATTACTGACATTATTTCTCCCTTATTGATCCATTTTCCCATATCCTGACCATACATGTGGTCGTATTACCATAAAAGGAAATTTGATCGACAATACGATTCCGAATTAAATACAAATTCCAATTATTTACTATATGTTACTTAGTAATTCTACCATAATACGGTTTTTGAAAAATGGTTGAATTTAATTCCACCACATGTATAATCCTGACCGTCCTTGTGCAGCTTTCGCTTTATCGGGGTGTCATCCTTACATTGTACTATGTCGCACTCAGGTTTCCGGTCGGTACTCTTGATCGCGTTCTCATACTTGATCAGGAGTTCTTTTACTGGACCCCCTGTCCAAACCGACTTATAAACTATCATCATGGCGCAAAGTGCCAGTTTTACGAAGACGTCGGAGTAGGTTTTCATGAACTTTCTTCTAAGTCTTCGCACAAATATTTCCATCAGTTGCTGCCACGACTCAGGAATGCTATGGAATCTAGGGTTGTTGTCTCTTGGCGTCCGTGTTTCCCAAGTGATCATATGCGTCGTTTCTCTCTTGATCATTCCTCTCTCATCTTCGTCGTGTGGTGTCGGCAGTTCTTTCATTACCGCGGTGTCTTGTTCTTTTGCCATCAGTTCTCTTATTGGCCCATATCGGTCTTCTGGATCACCTCTTTTCCCTCAGTTTTCTTTAGATTCTCTTCGGTCACCGCCGATGTTTCTTCCAATTGGGAGGGATACGTCGCAGGGCTTAGAATCTCTGGTCGTGCTTCATCATCGATAACATTATCTAAAGTAATTTCTTTTTTGAACTCGATATCATCCCTATTGTTCCCATAACAGTAGTATATCACATGATATTTACGTGAATATCAAGTGAATCCGATAAAATTTAGTGCTGAATTTTTAAAATTATTAATAAAATAAACCAACTTTAAATCAAAATAATGGTATAAAAAATAATTTTTTAAAAAATATCTTTCCGTAATTTTATTCTCTAGTCTATTAGCTATTAAACTATAGAAAGTTTTAACAAATATATTTAGTACTATTTTTAGTTATTACTTTTTAAAAATTCTTGGTTTTTGAGATGCGATTAGATGTCCTGCACCATAGGCAAAATTTTTCAAAAAAAATCAAAAAAATTTTACATGCTTGAAAGTACTAATACAGACTGATAAAAAAAAATTATATACCTGAACAGATAGATTCCTATCAGTTTATCTATTTGTCTGGACTACAGAATTTAACTTATAATGGATCCAAGATTCTTATAAAGCTTGGGAAATACATTTGCTTGATAGGTATCAACTAGCTTATCTACCTGTCCAACCATGAGAGTTTTAACTTATAGTGGATCCAAGGTTCTTATGGAGCTTGGGAAATATATTTACTAATGGTTCATTTTCTGGAGTCCAGATCTAAGGAGAATATTGTAGAGGATATTTTTTGATAGATTTCTTCTTCCCAATAAGGTGTTCTTGCTATAAATCAGATAGATAAAATTTTATTTATTTTGTCACTAAAATATACAAAGTTTTTTGAAAAAGAAAGAGTAAACAAATAGGGAGGCATCAGCCTTTAGAAAGTAAGTTTTTAAGGAAAGTATATAGATCTTATTATCAAAATAAAAAAATATTTTTGAGGTCTGTTTTTTAGATTGATAAAGAGATTAGTAAAAAGAGTTTTATATATTTTTTTATTATTAATTTATGTTCTATTGATTTATAGATATCTATATAGCTAATTATATTTTTTTTAATATTTTATAGCTCTTCCTTTAGTTATAATACAAGCCATAATATGACATGGCATACTCTTAATCAATTGTTTGTAATATACTGGATCAATCTCATTTCAACATTTTAAAACACAATCTTTGAGCTCCATTAAATTATTAGATTTTGTCTTATAAACTTGAACTTTAATATAATGTCAGAGGTTTTCGATCAGATTAAGATCTGAACTTCGAGAAATCTAGTCTATAACTCGAATATTTTTATTAGCAAGAAACTTCTTTGTAATTTTTATGACGTATGGCCTTGCATTATCGTGTTGAAACCAAGGGCGGCCACTATAATTCCAATTGGTTCTATTGAAATTTCGAAGAGTTGGCAAAAGATGATCTTGGAGAGTTGTGATATATAACTTTACTATAAGGGAAAAAAAGTAAGTCTAATTTTTTTATTATTTAATAAACTTACCTTTAACCGAGGTGCGAAAAGAAATAAGGAGGTCAACATGGAACCATGAAAAACACCCCAATGCATATGGCTTGGATTATAGTTAATAGTGGCAGAAAGGCATTTAGCATTCCACTCTTTATGTAAACTATACCAAACATGACATTTACTCCCTTGCTGGAATCCCGAATGGTCCAGTCTTTACATGCAAGGCATCAGATAAGTCAGTTTTCAATCTTTTTTTTCAAAAGGAAGGGCTTGGGATGGGTGATACAGCTTCTTAACTGTTTTTTATGTAGGATTTGACAGGTGGTTTTTTCAGATACTTGGATTTCCATTTTGGCTATAAAAAGATTGGTTAGTTTTGCAGCAGTAATACGTCTGTTACCCTTTTTGCCAGTAACAGGTTTTTTAGGGTGGTACAAGCACACTTATTGAGGAGTCGTGGTCGTTCTGATTGTCATATTTGCAATTTTGTGAATCCAGTTTCAATAAAATACTTTATAATGTTACCCACTATACATGTGGTGGAATTGAATTCAGACATTTTTCAAAAACCGTATTATGGTAGAATTACTAAGTAACATATAGT